GCAAATTTCGTAAATTCGGAAACTTCGAAATTTAGAGATTTAAGGATGCTAGTTTACTCAAAGTTGGTACTCACAATAATCCCTTGAATAATCCCTTGAAAAGAAATAACATTTAGTCAGGTTCTGTAATTCACTGCCCAGTGAATTTCAACCCCTGCCAATTTGAATTCAAAGCCAATCAGATTGAAATTCACTCGGAAATGAAATGCAGAACCTGCCGGATTCAGCCCTATCGCCAACTCCATGTGAATAAATAGGTCCCATAATTTAACACGCAATACAAAAACAAATTGGGCAAAACTGTTTTGCTTTATAATTTTTGGGAATATTTGTTCATGTGAAATTCGCGATAGGGCTGATTATTGTCGAGTTTTGGGAAATGGGCGTGGTACCGCCCACTTATAATTTTACACATATCATTAAGGGCCGTTAACTTATCAATTTTAAAGCATAGTTAAATATAACTACAGAAAATTCCATAGGGATCGGAATGCTACGAAAATAGGAAGTAAAAAATGTTTCGCAACATCCTTATTGTTGCTATTACAGATCGAACAACATACATATATTTTAAATGAAAATTATTAAAAATAAACATAACTTGCAAACAATACCATTTTGAATTTTGTCCTTATTATTTTGCACACAACTGTATTTATGTATAGATATCGAGCGCTTAGTAAGAGTTCACTGCATATGTATATATATATGTGAATTATAAAGTGCTTTCATTTATTTCTTGCTCTAAAATTTTAAACAAAATTAAAACATGCATATGTATTGATTATAGGGGTTAATTACTCTTTATTTCGTTTAAGTGCTTCATATTTTACAGTTTGATAACTTACAAAACTACGTTTAAAAAAAACAAGAAAAAAGAACGACCATTTTACTTTATACTCTTCAAAAACAATCTCGCACTGCATTGTTTAAAATATTTTCTCTGCAACATCGTACAGTTGCTACAAATTATTAAAACATTACTGATTGTTGGTGTATAATATATGTATGTATTTACCTTAATACATATGCATAATATTAATTAAATTTTGTATTAGCCACAAAGAACAAATATTTCAATATGTGTTTAATTGGTAGGGATTACAACTTTTATTTCGTTGAGTTCTCTTTAAATGTTTGCATTTTATTTATGTTTTTCAAGTTTTTTACAAATATGTATGCGTTTTATTATAATAAACCGTTAAAATTGGATTTCTATTTTTTCTATCAAATCAAATCGTTATTTTAGAATTTTTATTTTTTCGACCAATTTTGATCGTTTTGTGATTTTTATCTTTTTTTTCGATCATAGCATAACCGTTACTTTCCAGTTTAATTTTTTAGAACATTTAGGATTTAAAGCGGTCAAAAGAACGCCTCCACCATAACGGTTAAAAATTATCGACTTAAATAAAAATTCCAAAATAACAATTTCGCAATGATGTAAAAATTAAAATCTTGGTATTTAATTTTTATTTTCGGACCCTGCTTAATTTATTTCATATGAACATTTAGAGTTCTCTTATTGTTTCCCGTAAAAGAAGGGAAAAATGTCACTTAGGGCTTTTAAGTTTATTTAGAGGTTCATCATATTTTTTGTACGCTCATATTTTTTTCAACCGACTTCACAAAAAGGAGAAGGTTATCAATTCGTCGGAATATTTATTGTTTAAATCCGATCATTGGATCATGAAGAAATTGACGATAATCTTACATTTTTATATGAGAATTGAAGTCGGTTTTGTTTTTTGCTTAAAAATTACTTGTTGTTTAAACAGATGTCGCCGCTAACGTGGCTGCGGTAAAAGTTGTAAGATTTTTTTTTTCATGTGAATTGAATTCATATTTCTTAAATCTTTAAACTTCAGTAGTTTCAAATTAGAGAAGTGATCAGATAAAGGTTACCAGTATTAAAAATTAGTGTATTCGGATTAGTTTCGATACTAGTTTCCACCGAGTCACATATGTGTACATAGTTTGGGGTGGAGTTTCATACTTTGGTGTTGGTGGATTGGCAGTCGTTACCGTAAATTTAAACGCTTCTGCGACTCACTTCCGAGTGAATTTCAACCTACTTTCAATTTGAATTCGAAGTGACTTTAGTGGAAATTCACTGGGAAGTGAATTGCAGAATTTTGCTATAAGGAATAAGCGACAGCAAAATTTTCGAGTCTTGTGTTGTAAGGTAAAAAATTCCAGAACAATAGTTTTATTTCAGGGCTGCAAGACAGTCATAAGAGTATAAAAATTCTCTCACAAAGAGTAAACTTCTCAGAAGTAGGGGAATCATTAGATGTTTCTCGTAATTTTGTTGTGGTTAATTGATATGCAAAAAACAATTTCAGACCTCTATTATAAAATTGAAGTTATAAACTGTAAAATTGTAAATATCAAAACACAAAAATAACTGGCGTAACCTCGCTAAGGCGAGAGCCAATTCAATATACGCGATAATCTGCCTTTTTTTTGCTTTTATAGCTTTTGAGCTATTAAAATATTTTCTAATTTTATTTTTTTTTATCTAAAAAAATTTGCCAATTAAATTCTAAAAATACAAACTTAGGAAGGGTACAACCAAGTCTACTTTCAATAACTTCTTGTAGTGATTGTTCATGGAAAATTGAGACCGAAAATCTGAAAATAAGTTTTGATATATGAAAAATGGGTCGTTCGAATTTTCATACCTTAATAAATGTTACTTTTTGTAATAAAAATGTTCATTGCAGACTGAAGTCAAAATATTGACGAAATAAACGCAACTAAAGCATATAGAGTGTTTTATTTCAACCTTGGGCCTTGGGCTCAACAAAGTTAACATCTTTAACAAAAACAATTTTTTTCGGATCTATTTCTGTTCCTTATGTTTGTCTCCATCATTATTACAAAAGGCCCTAAGTGAGATTTTTCGCTCCCTCTCAAGGCATTTTGGAGATAATGCAAAGGCGCAGTTCGCTGGCTGCTAACCTCTGCTCTGTATCGATTTGAGAGAATCTGTTTTTTTTTCTTCATTATGCATCTTAAAGTCGACTCCTTTCTATGCACTACTTCAAACGAAATTCACTCTCACCAATGCTGCTTCAATCTGACCTATTGGGGGCTGTCAGAGAATCCATCGTAGGCCGATTTTTCGTGAAATCTACCAAAATGCGATCACTGAATCCGAATTGCTACGAACTTATGTATTCAAAGTAAACGCTATGTTCGTAGCTATTCGGATTAAGTAATAGTATTTTGTAGTTTTCACGAAAAATTGAAATACGATGGATTCTGTAATAGCCCTGATTATTCTTGCTATCTATATTTCAGCTTTTTTATACATACATATATGTATGCAGGCATAGTAGATTTTATTGCAATTCTTAAGAGAACTTGAAGTTTAGTTTACTACTACAAAAATAAAAAATATCAGTTACGCCCTTTTTAATGATGGCATCTGTTTTATATTCTTATTTGGCGCTGTAACGGCCTAAGCGATTTTGGCCGAGCTCAACAAAGCGCGCCAGTCGTTTCTCTTCTGTGCCAACTGACGCCAATTGGAAATGCCAAGTGAAGCCAAGTCCTTTTCCACTTGGTCTTTCCATCGCAGTGGTGATCCTATTATATCTCGTGGATGAAAGGTAGGAGGCCCTAACTGGCATTTACACCCCTATTGCGAGTGTCGACTAGTAGTAGATAAACGACTATTATTCGATTATCGCTTTTTCATGGTATTGTGAACGTGTATTTCCAGTTCAATAAGAGACTGTGAGCTGTTTTCAGTCGTTCATGCTTCTACAACTGTTAGTTAGTAGAAACATGAGCGACTAAAAACAATTCACACTCACTTATTGAACGAGAAAACGATATCGAAAATACCATGGATAATCGAATAAAGGCATCCACAATCTGTACGATTCTGTCGGAACGAATCCGCGCCGATTTTGATGCTACAGACGTTTCTGCTTCGAAAATGCAAGTACGCACACGTCCGTCCGATTTTATCGCAGTAAAAACTGTCAACTTATAATAGACAAACAAAAAATACTTTTCAACAAAAATAATATTCTTAACTATTCTACATCAAACATGTTTTGTTTTCTTACGTTCAATTTTGTTTTAATATTGTAAAATCCTTCTTTATACCTTTTTCGTTCTCAAAACGCGGAAGTCTACGATTTCGGAACGACGAAAAGAACTGTCAATATACCAATAAATCGCTGCAACAAAATCGTATAAGTGTGTGATTCCTCATTTAAAACTGTGGTAGGCATTATTTAATTTTTGTCGGAACAGATTCGCACGGACAGAATCGCAGAGGTGTGTGGATACCTTAATAGTCGTTTATCTACTACTAGTCGACACTCGCAATAGGCGTATTATTTATTGTGTTCTAAATATATTTTTAAGTAGCTTTTACTATACCAGAACATATCTTCCTTAAACAATTTTCGAGCTTAATGAGAGCAATGATTTGGACGCTTTTTAAAAATCTTTGGGCATGGAGTTGTAACTGTTTCGAGATTGGCTTTTGGATTCCTATGCTAAAAGTGAAAAATATCAGTTGGGGCGATTCTACATTTCATCTACAAAATTTACTTATAATTTGCCTTGATATTATGCTTTCGCTTCTCAGACGCTTGACACGCACCCTTAGACATATGCTCCACGCGTCCGAATTAGAAAACTGTGTTCTTATCATTTTGTTGACATCAACATGCATTAAAAATACCTTGAAAAATATTAAGCCAAGTGAAATATTTTTTTTTTTTTTATAGTTACATGCATAAATGTAGATATAAAATATTGAAATCCTTGTCGATCATTTTCACCTCTACCATAGTTGCATTTCCATGCAGCCATTTTGTCATTAAACTGAAGTTATTCTTCCACACATTTCCATACAAACACTAAGTAATTATGTATTTTTAATTATGTTTTCAACTTCATATACATACATAAATACAAGTAATTTTAGAAATATTCTTTCGGTCCATGTAAAATGTTTTGATATTAGTGTGTCGTACATATGTATGTATTTATTTTAAAATTAAAAATATTTCTTCAGTTAAGCGCAACTGTATTCAATTTGTTTGCTTACATAATTGCTCAGAACTAACTGGATGACTACACTAAAGAACGATGCTGGATTTATCCTCGGCAAGTGAAAAAAAAACTCGAACAATAAGTGTGGGATAATGAATACATGTTTGCATTTATTCTGTTGAGCCGCGACGAATTGCACATTGTCTAACCTATTGGCGGAAATAAACAGCGCAACGCGTTTATGGCCGTTTGCAGCGCCGAATGCTGATGCTGATTTGAAAGGTTGCGGCTATGACTATTAGTGATGGTGGTGTTGGTACTAATTGTGCTGCTGCTGGTGCTGCTTGGTAAAGCCACGTCGTATTAACTCGTCAGTAGTGCAATATTGATTTCTTTAACCATTTTGACACGGTGCAGCATCTTTTGTAATGATTCCTGGCTGAGCGCTTGCGTAGAATACCACACGGGCGAATCGGGAACACAAGAGCGTTCAGGTTGTAGATAAAATACGTCGTTTCGCGTTTTTACACTTTCCGGGCTATAAAATTGTTAGGAATTAAATTTAAAGTATTTTAATGAATATAAATTACGGATTATACACTACCATTTGGAGAGATAAAATTCGTAAAGGCGGACCGGACAACGCAATGGATTTTCTTCATTCTCTTGTTGTTCGTAAACCTTCTTCTTTCTTGGGTTAGCATCTGGAAATTTTTAAAATATCCATATAAGTTTTTTTTTTACAATAAAATGTAGTAGAAAAAAGTATCGAATTGCTTTAGTTTACTTACCAAGACCAGCTTGTGGCGGATAGAAACGCAATAACACATTTCGTGTACCGGGCATTTTGGCATTTTGTGCCGAACGTTTCCAATGTTTCATTATGTGCGAAAATGATAATTGCATGTGCTCTTCCACCGTCTGCAATTAAAAACAGAAATAGTAAAAGAATCCATTAAAATTACATTCCCGTTGGGGTTCATTTACCGTTAAATTGAAATGTTTTGTGTTAAAGAACATTAGTGTACTAAGTAAAACATGTGGTGAATGAGCGCCCAGCTGTTTGCACTCCCACAAGTGTTCTTCTTCGACACGGGTAACAATGTACTCTGCAATAGAAAGAATCATTTGAGTCTTTTATAGTAATGATTCAAAATAGCGTGTAATACAAAGTTTGAAACTTACGCGAATCATTATAAAGTACGGAGAATTTACGAGCCACTTCATCCAAGCAATCGGTAAACCGTTCGTAATATGGATCTGTAAATATGTTATCTATTCGCCCATTTTCATATAGATATTGTTGAATACCTAAAATCATACACATTACATTTGTTCAAAACGTATTTCATTTAATTCTAGACCACTTGATAGATTTTACTAGTAGCATTTATTACTAGGAAGGTAACAGTTTTATAATGTTTTATTATAATACTATTTTTTCTTAAAATAAGACAAATGCGACTTACCTAGTACTAAGTAATATATAGTGTCTGGCGCATATTCTGTGCCATTCGGCTTCCGCACCTCCTTCACAAACAAACACAACGAATAGTTCAATTCGTCGGCGGTCATTTGCAGCAGCTCTGTTTTGAATGGTCGCCGCCTTGTACTACTCTTCTCGATGTCGGCATTCTTTGTCATTACCCATTGTTTCCACGCGTTCACACCAAAAGTGTATTTGAGACACATATTTGCGTCGGGTTTCTCTGCAGGTTGAACAGGTTGTGGTGGTGGTTGGGCCGGTTCTATATCGATGCGGGAACGTTTCACCGGCGACCGATTATTACTGCGCGGTGATACCGGCGAAGTCATACCGCCACGTTTACGGCCACGTCCACTGCTGCAAAGAGTGTTTGTTTATACATGACGCTAGAATCTATACTTTTTTTTACAGTATGATAGTTTTTTTTTAGATTTTTATTAAAAAAAAAGGATACTGCTGCTTTTCCCAAAATACTGCATTTATAAGAAAAATACCTTTTTGTTACCTAAATTTTTTTAACGTACAGAACTAATATAAATTGTATAAATAAGTAATATAAGTCTTTGATACAAAACAATATAAGCTAAGAGCAAATTGTCGTGAATGCATACATATGATATATACTCGTGGCCACGTAAACCTTCCCACCACTTTTTTTTACTTTGGTAGAATTTCATGTGTAAATTAATAAAACTTAATTTTTATTTTTAATATACTAGTCACAAAACCCGTATTCAGTAAAATTTCGGGTCACAATTCTGCCTAATTAACGAAAAAGTGGTGGTAAGATAGGCGTGTTCATGATTTTTGAACTTATTTTTGCCAACGGTGTTACTCTCTTCCATACAAAAAAAAAAATTGTCGAACATAGTAATTCTGTATGGAAGGAAATGCGCGACGTTGCCAACAAAAGAAATCAAAAAAATTGTTCTTGCGCAACTATGTTAGATTTTTTTAATTTTTTGTAGGCAGTTGTAAATTCGCATGGCTTTTGTTAGACCGTATCATTTTGTTGTGCCGTAAAATATTACTAGGAATACCTTTATTTTATTGAAAAACTGTTTCAAAAAAACACTGCTGTAAGCTTAATGGATACTGCGAAACCGAATTTTTTCGCAGCAAACAAGCAGGTCCCGCAAATCACTTCCGAGTGAATTTCAACCGAAGTTATTTTGAATTCATATTGGATTGNTACCTTTATTTTATTGAAAAACTGTTTCAAAAAAACACTGCTGTAAGCTTTTTTTAATGGATACTACGAAACGGAATTTTTTCGCAGCAAACAAGCAGGTCCCGCAAATCACTTCCGAGTGAATTTCAACCGAAGTTATTTTGAATTCATATTGGATTGGTATTGAAAATCACTCGAAAATAGATATACAGTCAGTCAATAAAATTTAGATACAGCGAGTTCTAAACCTTGTGCAAAATTAAAGAAAATTCTGCAAAATTTCATTGAAATATTGCACTTTTTATTTACGCTCTCTAGAAAAAAGTTGAGTTGAGGTGAGTTTTTAGCCAATTCAATTTTAGTATAATAAAGTGCAAGTATGAGGAAGCTAGGACTTACCATTGATTTTTGGGAAATATTTTGTTGAAGGTGTCGCACATTTTTTCCATATAAAAAAATTATCAAACATTATTTTATATGGAGAAAATGTGCGACACCTTCAACAAAAAAATTTCCCAAAAATCAATGGTAGGTCCTAGCCACTTCAAACTTGCACTTTGTTGTACTAAAATTGAATGGGCTAAAAAACTCCACTACTTAACTTTTTTCTAGAGAGCGTAAATAAAAAGTGCAATATTTGAATGAAATTTTGCAGAATTTTCTTTAATTTTGCACAAGGTTTAGAACTGTGATTTTTGTTGTAGAATTAACCATATTTTTATAAAAAATTATCGAAAAATAAAATATTTAAAAAATAGTTGCCGGTATTGTAAAAAATTCGTTGTACCTAAATTTTATTGACTCGACTGTACTTTTTTGGANAATAGTTGCCGGTATTGTAAAAAATTCGCTGTACCTAAACTTTATTGACTCGACTGTACTTTTTTGGAAAAAAACTACCGTTATACACAATGCTAAAATTATAGTAAAGAGTAACAAACCGTTGTGTTTCCATTATATGATGCTGTTGATGCATATGGTGTGCGCTCATATGACTCATAGAATCGTCGTGTCCAACCATACCTGGTGGCGGGTTTGTGATCTCATTTGCCGACATTGCCGATTCCAAGTCAACGGCTGGTTGATCATACTCACCAGTTGCCATTTTCAATGCCATCTGCAGTACTTCTTCGCCATATGAATTATTCGCCACCTCAACTGGTTGTACATCATTACTGTATTGTATTGGTACCAAACTGGGTTCAGTTTTCACCTCATCTTCAGAATCTGAATCTGATTCGTGCTTTTCCTCAGCAACCATTTCGGCCATCATGAGCAACTCGGCTTCAAATGGATCTGCAGGCATTTTATCTTGAATCTTCTTGATTTCTTTTAATATACCCTGAGCAGAATTTCGTGTAGTCGGTATGAAAATTGGTACTGGTATGGGTAATGGAATTGGTATTGGCACCGGAAATGGTGCAGAGTACATGTACATTGGTTGCGGTAAGTACTCGCGATGCGCAGACAAACTGTGTGGTGTATTTGGCCTACAACATCACCCATGAAGATGGTATAAAACTTACAGCTTAGGGCCAATTTCTCAATGTATGATTAACACTAACTACGTTCTAAGGGCCGGTTTCCGGAATTCAGTAAGCAATCTCTAGTCACTAATAGTTATGTTGGTGGTGAACATAGACTTTTGAGGCTACTTGGTATTTAGTAAAAGCTGTCTCACGTCTCGTCTCAAAAAATTTCACTAATTTGTCAGCTGACTCTGAGCTGGTCACAAAAAAAAAATATGGGGGAAAAGATAATTGCTTTCTGTTTTATTAAAAAAAAAAACGCGAAAATGAAGCGAATAAACATTTGTTCAACAACAACTTCATTAGGAAATAATCGAAAATGATTTATCATAAAAACTCATTAAAAAAATATTTTTTTTTAACCATTAAAATTTAAAGATTCTGATGAAAAAGCTGTATTCAAGGTGTATTAAACAAGGTGGTGTTGGGGCGACAGCTGAGTTTTTCGCCGTAGAGGCCATTACGTCAAAATGATGTGTTTGTTGTAACTCATACCAATGACAGTATGGACATCAGCGTATAATTTGTTAGTGTAATTTTTTACTTATATACGGCCAACACCACCTTGTTAAATACGCCTTGGCTGTATTCGTAATCGGAACGCAGTCGACACCACTGTCGATATAGGAAATCTGACTCTGACTACCACAAAGAAACTCAAGCGTATGTTGAAAGTGAAATAATTAAAAAAAAAATATATGTACATAAATTATGTTCGAAATGCAACCGTGGACCGCAGCTGGCACTGAAGCTTCTAGTTGCGTTCCAGATAATTCGCGATTTGCAGGTTTTTTCAGGAAGCTGTTCCAGGTGACCACCTTCCATAAGTCTGCGTTCAAACACGGAAACTCGAGTTTCTTATTATCGGCGATTTCTCTTTTGGTGTTGCCCTTTGCATTCACACACAGAAACTCTTTTGTACGCAATTGTTGTTGTCAGCTGTGAATCGCCAACTTGAATTACTCAGACGAACGAGAGCACAAAGCGTGTTTCCCCGAGTACGGGCGACTCGGTACCCGTCCCCTTTCCTCGTCGCTCTCTTCCCAACCAGCTGCGAGTTTCCGCAGCAAAAGTTTTCGTGTCTGAACATAGACTAAGGTTTATTAATGGCGAAAACATCTTTTCCTGCAAAACCTGCACATCGTGAAGCATCTGGAACGCAACTTTTAAAATTCGGCAAATTTCTGTTCACGCTAAACTTAGAGTAAGTTTCTCTCTTTGGGAGAGTAAGTTTCTCTCTTTGGGAGAGTAAGTTACATTATTCTCTGAATTTGAACACAACTAATAGCTTTGTTCCCCACGCTTTCCGGGCTGCTCCGGTAATTAGAGAGTAAAAATAAGTTACTCCTCACAAGTGTCAAAAATGTGCCAACACATGCCAAAAGTGCCCAGAGCGTGAGGAACGCAAAAACCACATTTCGTGCCCGGAATCAACATATCAGCTCTGAACAATGATTTTACGTGTATTTAGCTTATATGACTAATTAAATTACCAAATAACTACATTTTCTGAAAATTCTGTGATATTTTACACTTTTGTTTTCCTAAAATTTGCTTTCGGATTTAAACCACAGCAGTTATTTCAAATTGCCCTTTTGCACATTTGTGCCCGGAAAAAAGTCGTGCACAAAGAAGAAGGCATTTAAAATCCAAAAGTGGAACGTATTCGCTCTCTATTACCAATTTTTCTAGCGTGAGGAACGCTTTCTAGGCTGTTTTGAGCACCCGCGGGCTCGTGTGGAACAAACCTAATATGTGTCGCCAAAAACGCACATTTTTTATAACCGTTTACTTGAAGACTCTTCATTTCCCAAAAACTTGGCAAAAATACATCGATGTTTTTCTTTGATTCGATGCATCGAAATGTACATCGATATTTTTCGATGCATCGAGGGACCTACATTGACAACAAAAAAACATGCTATTAGCAAAATTGTACAAAATTTGAAATAAATTACTGCAACTGAGCGAATAATGTTTCCAACGGAACTTTTTGGAGCCATTTTAATTTTTTGGTCAAAGTCACTTCTCTTTTTTGTACAATTTAAAAACTGAAGGTTTCGTTTGGGATACAAATGTTATAAAATAAGTTTTTGTTGAATATTTTACCCTTTACTAAATTAAATCAAACAAACAAATCAACTTTCCCTATGCTCCATTGCAATATTAACTAAAAACTTTATTTTGTTTATATATTTTTTGTATTTACCTGTATTGGCTGCTTTGACTGCTGTGGAATCTTTAGTTTGACCCTTTTGGGCAATCCTGTGGGAAATGGTACATTGCTTTTATTAGGTGCGGGTTGACCCACCGCAGCTGCTTGCTGTGTAGCTGGTGAATCATTTTCCAAGGTAAGCGGTGCACGTGCAAATTGACTCTGAAACTGCATAACACATTGATATGTGCAAAAATTACGCATTGAAGCATCCGACATGGTGAGATGGTATTGCGGTGTGGCAGAAGTATTACAATTGTCGCAATTCGCAACGGTGCGGGAGAACGCATTAATAGACACACCATATAACGTTAGACAATTAAGGGAACACATAAGTATTTCCTGTGAATCTTGTTGCTTATAGATCATATCGAAATTATATTTCTTTACTTTGCACCATTGACATGAGACTATACGACGATTCACAATTATGTACACATTAAGGCAAATTCGTGTACAAAATACTTTAGTCCGCCTTTCTGTATAAATGGTAAACGAATCGGTGCCTTTGCGTTCGAAATACTTAGAGCACATAGCGCACTGATCAGCGACTATATTGCTTACGAATTTAAAAGCAGAAAAGCAAGGATTTGAGCAAAAATTATGTTCTTTGCCATCCAGCATGATTTCGACACGCACCGGTTTATCATTGTTACACACTGCACAAGTATCATTGCGAAGTTTCTTCTTTGGATTACACATGCTATCGTATCGGCGCATGCAGGCCTGTGAACAGAAATCTTTGAATTGTTCTTTATCACCGACAGGCGCGAGAAATCCTTCGCTACCCGATGAAATGTCTTTCTGGCAACACGAACAGGTCTTTAGGCCCTTTTTGAATTCATTGAGGCATGCAGCACAGCAAAATTGTCGAATGTCGAAACCGAAGCGCACACAATACTTTCCGAGCGCAGGATGTGGCACTTCACCATGGCACGTTTGACAATTCGCACCGATTGTACGTTGGTATTTGCCAAGACAGATCTCATTACAGAAATCCATTGTTTCCCAGAGCAGATTTTTGTCACCTAACGTCACCTCATTGAAACACTCTGCACATCGGCGCAAAAAACTGGCATTCCGCTCTATACGTGCAGCCTCTGCCTCTGCGGTGGTGCGAGCTACAACACCCGTATCCCGGGTGCTTTTCGTCTTAGCTGCTGTGCTTGCACTTGTGACGGCCGTCGTTAAAGCTCCTGGTGCAGGCGCCACAGGTGTTGTCAAAGTTGCGCCAATATTTCGCACACGTATTGAATGGCGTTTTAATTTAAATTTGTCAGGTTCTTCCAGATTTAGTAGGTTATAGCATATATCGCTACAAATGTAAAGTTGCTCATCATCCTGGCGAAAGAAGTATTTACATACTTTCACTTCCTTACATTGCAAGCATGAATACATGTTTGCTTCTTTTTCTGCCTCTGTAGATTTACCCGTGTCACCTGGAACACTACCATCATTGCCCTTTTCTGCTACATCTTTATCTTTTGGTTCATTACTTAGTTCCTCAATAAGGAATTTTTTTCGGCGAATGAAATACTTGCCAGGATTAGCGGACAACAGAGCATCACAGCACGTTTGCTCGCACAAATATTCTAAATTTCCACTTTCAGGGTTCTTATATCGAAAACCACAGGTTTTTTCATTTTCACACTGTATACATTTCTGGGTAGATGAAAGTATCCAAGCGATAATAATTTTCGGTGTTGAACCAGTTTCAGTTGTACTGGTTTGCATTTCCTCCAATAACGGTTCATCAGCATCGGGTGCATCTACTGCTTCTTCTACAGTGTTTTGTTGTGTTTCTATATGTGTAAAAAAAAGTTACATTTCGAACTTAATACATAAAGTCCTTACAAAAATGGGAAACTGTTGAGCTTAAACTCTTTTCATTAGTAAAAATTGAATCTTACTTAAGCTCGTTTTTTGGTTACAGGGCCCCATGGCTATGCGATAAAATAAACTCGGCTTAAATTTGATACTCGAAAATATATGTGGCGAAATTGTACCACCTTGCTTTTGGTAGGAACAACAGGTGTTGAAACCATAATATTAAAGAACACAAGCACGAGCAAAGTTTTACTTCATATAATATATTTCAATGCATTTCACTACTTATGATACTGAGACGCTCACCTTCGCTGCTGCCACTACCAGCGTCAGCTGCTTCAGCACCAGCTCCAGCTGAGTAAGCTTGAGCTTCGGCTTCGGCTGTCGCAAAAAAATAAGAATTTTTAAATATTTATACTAATGTAAATTCATATGTATGTATGATATCCCAAAATGACTTTGAAAATTAAATAAGCTTCGAAACAATAATAAGGCCCATTTTTCTGAATAAAAGTAAGGTTTACTAAGGGATTGGGGTTATCTAATATAGAAGAAAGTCTAATACACACTTATAACCAGCGAATGCAAGGCTTTTACAGCAAAAGAAAATACATACAGTGGTGGCAGAAATAATCGTAACGCCCTATTTCGATCAGTTTTTCGTTAAATTTATTTTGTTTTTAAAAGTTTAATTTTTTTTTTATAAAACTCTAACCCATTATATAATAAACTGCATATAAAGCGCATTTAAGAAAAATGTTCTCTTAAATTTCAAACTTATTATTCAGAATTTCTAGAAAATTTTTGGCAACGCAAATCATCAAATTTAAGTAGGATAAAGTGCAAGTGCCTTCAAAATCGCGTAGATATATATTTTATTTGCCGCAGAACTTTTTTTTCATAACAAGTGCAATTAATGAAAAAAGGCGTTGATTTCTTTCTTTTAAATTTTTCATCGGTTTTTTTGGAGCCACTTAAACTTGCTCTTCATCCTAATTTAATGGGTTATAAACAGGGAACGGATTTAATGGAAATTGCCTTTTTTCTGCTAAAGAGATAGAGTATATACGATAAGAATGTACACGATTTAGCTGTCCCCCGATTCCATATATACACATTTGATGTTGCCCTTTTTTGCCTTTTCTACCTTTAATTGAACTTGAAACTTGAAAATCAGTTTATTTCACGGAGTTAAAAAATAAAAGAAAAGAAATAATTGAATTAATTGGCTTGTTATGCAACATTACATACACATGTATGTACATACAAACATATGTATGTGTAAAAATATATGTACATATATCACATATAAAACACTTTTTATATGGTGCTAAGCACAAAATATTAAGGAACATAAAATTTCATTTCGTTTTGTACTAAAATACACTCTTTTGCACTGAATGCATAAGAACTTATATGCTAGGTATGAATGTACATACATATAGTGGTCCACAAAATAAAAGTCTAGCTAGTATACAACAAACACCTTATAAATTCAGATTTCAAACTTTGTACAAAAATTAGAAAAATTCTGCTTATTTTCACTAAAATTTCAAACTTTTTAATCAGAATTTTGGTATGCAGTTTTGTAGACCATTTCATTATAGTATAATGAAGTGCAAGTTTCAAGCTGCTATAAAATCCCGTTAATTTTTGGCAATTTT